AATCAACTCTGTACTTAATGACTGTTCGGTTTATGAACGTTGTGTTTAGTGTAAAGACTGCACTGTTTGATTATGCAATGTAATTAATTCTAATTTATGGTTATTACTGTATTTTGGGATGTTACAGCAAGTCACCCCATATTTCGCAGTAAAAATGTTTGGAATTTTGATGACAAAAATCACGATGTGTGCTCACACCAAAACTCCAATTTGAAGCGGTTACGTCTAGTTGAGATAGTGGTCTTCCAGTTATGAACACAATCTTTATGTCAAGAGACATCAATTTTTTGTACAATTTCGGATTCCTATGGAGTCTTTAGGAACACTCGAGAATTTGATGATGTTATGTGCTTCCACACCAAGCATCCAACTTTGGTAGNAAGTATGGTCAATTCATATAATTTCAAACCCTAATACGTAAAATTGGGAATTTTGATTGATTATTGTTTACTAAGAAGGATAAAATTAGGAATTTCCATATAGAATTTTTTTGGCCAAAATCTGTTGCCAAAAATCTCTTAGCAAGTGTCAGACCCTGGAAAATAACGTACATTCGCTGGAGTCCGCGTGGCAGTCTGAGAACGAGACACCTCAGCAACGCACGTGGCGACCGCAGGACGAGACACTTCATTAACGGACACCGGGTGTCATGCTGAGGGGAGTCGGGAATCGGTAGTGGGAAGTAGGTGTCGACTGCAGAGTGGACGTGCGTTCGGCGGGGGAAGCAAAACTGAAGTTTTCAGAAAACGCTCCACTCTCTGCACGCACCTTCTTTTCTCGTTTCTGAAGAACCCTGTCAGACCTCGTAAATATGCACCCATAACCCACCTGTCTAATCTCATTAAAACGCACTCAAAACCCCTCTGCGCTGACACCAAGTGTCAAGAAACGAGAATCTGAAATCAGATAGTGGAATGCAGGTGTCAGCAGGAGAGCGGACGTTCGTTTTACATGGGAAGAAAAATGATTTTCTGAAACCTTCTTCCTACTCTCTCTGCATGCACCCTTCATCTTCCAAAAAAATCTGATCTTTCATTTTTCTCCTCCTTCTCACTAGAATTCCTACCTTCTCTCTAGGAAAACTAACCTTTCCTCTTCTCCGATCATCATTCAGAAACCGTAGAAGTGCTTCCGGCAACTCAAGCTTCATCTTGAACCGAACAAGTTTCAAGTTTGAGCCGATAAGTTTTCTCCCCTTAGTCGTTCGTTCTTTTATTACATGCAAACCAAGTTCTGGTTGCATGCGGGGGTATAGTTTAAGTGATTTTTGGTTCTTTGTGATTGTTCGGTTTAGTTTGGAGAAGTGTTGATCGTTGAGGGTAGAAGTTGTAGATTTGGACGAACCAAAAACCCACTCTTAGACCATTTCCATCACGTATCCAGGTAAGGGAAGCTTATTTGATTTAATTCGTATGTTGTGCCTTGTATGAACGTTTGTTATTTGACTGCATGAGTATAATGCATGATGTTTGACGTGATTGAATTGCATGAACGTTCGTGATTTATGAGTGGGAATGAAATACATGACTTTACATGATATGGATTGTATGAAATATGGAAGTTGATGTTGATATGAATGCATGAAACTATGAGATTGCATAATGAGAAAAGAACTGGAATGTAAATGGACTTGAAAATGAATTCCCCATGACAATATACGTTCGTTACTGAACGGTCATTGACCGTTCGGTTTTCCCTTGTAACATAGTTGAAATGTCGATTCTTTCATTTGGATAGAACCCTAGTTGAGGACGAGCGTCCTCGTGTTATAATACTATGCTTGAGCGTTCGGCCAAGCACTGTTGTATCTGGTATTCTTTGATAAACTCTATTCTTTTATATATATGAATAGTATATTCTTCTGTTCGTAAACACTACTTCGAAAGTCCCTTAGTATAATTATCAAGTCTACTGTTATAAGTTAAATGGTGCTCGGTCTTATACCAAGCGCTCGTACGGAGAAGTGCTCGGTCTTACACCTAGCGCTCGTACGGAGAAGTGCTCGGTCTTACACCTAGCGCTCGCTCTAAGTGGTGCTCGGTCTTATACTGAGCGCTCGTACTCATTCTTGTAAAATTAGTCTAAATGAAATTGTGTACGTCCAATTTCAGAAGGACTTTCCTTTACCACGTTCGGTCATTTACTGGCAGTGGATTTCAGTATGAGAACTATCCTAAATATGGTTCGTTAACGTCTTGATGCGTCTACCCTTGAAGTATTTGGCGCAAAGCCTCCACACTCGGTTTATTTCTTGAAGTATTGGTTTGAACTCATGAGAGTCAGTTCATTCAACTGATTCACATGATAAACAACGTTCGTCATTTGGAACCTGATATTACTCAAATCTGATCGTAACTCTGTCGTTCGTACTTTGATATAGAACGGACGTCTTTCTGGTCCCGTCCACAGTGTTCGTCCTCGTTCTTATTGAGGACAGAACGTTCGGTATTTGATGGTTTTCCTATTGATGATGAAAATGGTTATGGAATGATGAATAATAAATGATGATGAGTATATGAGATGAAAAGAAAGTTGTGAGTTTTGAACGAGCGTTCCGGGAAGGAACGACTCTTGGATGATTATGAGAATTGTAAAGTATGACTGTGGGCATGCTAGTGCTGGCTGTTCATCCTGATGTTTCGTGGGTACTCGTCCTCACGTAGAGAAGGGTAGGTCATGTGTGGAAACGGCAGGAGGTCCCGTCCTTAGGGGTACTTTGGATGAATAGGACTAACCTCGGGTGGCAGCTGATGAGAGTATTCCAGTTACTACATCACCCGGGTGCACGAACGCCTGTAGCTACACAGATTTCATACAGTCCGGACCGTCGGTCTAGTATCAGGGTTTTGATTGAATTTTTGATTGGAATGAATTTGAATGTGCTTACATATGAAAATGTATGTTATTACTTGAATTAAATTACATAAGCCTTACCCTGTTGTATTTTCCTTGTGTTGTCTTGTCCTTGTACGTTTGTCCTGTCATTGCAATGATCATCCGTGTGGATGTGAGCAGAAGGCGAGGCTTTGTTGGAGGACGTTATTAAAGAGGAGAACTTGGTGGATGTTGAAGTTAAGGCCGAGCCTTAGGTCATCCAGCTGATTTTATAACTTTAGTATTTTGTAATGGTCGTTCGGTATTGAAGTTTTGTACACCGTTCGTTCCTATCTTCTCTTATTATTCGATCTTATTGTAATCAACTCTGTACTTAATGACTGTTCGGTTTATGAACGTTGTGTTTAGTGTAAAGACTGCACTGTTTGATTATGCAATGTAATTAATTCTAATTTATGGTTATTACTGTATTTTGGGATGTTACAGCAAGTCACCCCATATTTCGCAGTAAAAATGTTTGGAATTTTGATGACAAAAATCACGATGTGTGCTTCACACCAAAACTCCAATTTGAAGCGGTTACGTCTAGTTGAGATAGTGGTCTTCCAGTTATGAACACAATCTTTATGTCAAGAGACATCAATTTTTTTGTACAATTTCGGATTCCTATGGAGTCTTTAGGAACACTCGAGAATTTGATGATGTTATGTGCTTCCACACCAAGCATCCAACTTTGGTAGGACATCGAACCCAGATTTCATTCGGAGTGGGAAAACTTGGAAGTTTACATTGGAAGTTTACGTTGGCGCATAGACTGTGAAAATGGGTCTATGAAACCCTAAACTTTCTCAAACCAAATCTTTAATTTCCAGAAACAATTCAGTTTGTCATTTTAGTGGGTAAAGACGAGTTTGACAGCGGCTTCTTGATTTTCTGGGTTTTTGCAATTCTGGTTTTGAGGGTGATGAAGATGGTTATTGAACGGTGTTAATACCAAGCCTCAATCATACTTTTCCCAATTTGCTTTCGATTTCTCAATTGTAGAGAAAGCGGTTGCCCTTAATTTAATTTCTTTTTCGTAATTTGTTCTCAAATTTTTAATTCAGAAATTACAAAATACACTTCACAATCGAGTTTTTTCTGCCACGTCAATTTAAAGAATATTGTCAACATACAACGTAAGGAATCTTAAACGCAATTTGTCCCATTTGACTGCAAGCCTCTATTTGTTTCAATTTTTCAAAAATAAGAATCCAATTGAGATATCAAATAAGTAGGGGACCAATTTATATTCTAGACTAAAAAAGAGACCTACAAAAACATTAAACCTTTAGTTTTAAAAAATTAAACCTATAAAGTTAGAGTTGAGTTAACTATTCATTATCTTAAAATAAATTTGTTTTATACTTTTCATTTGTTTGAAAATTTCTAAAGTTGTAGTTCAATTTAACTATTTCAATTCGACAAAACATTAGTTGGAGCTAACTTTCCAAATTTGGTCAATTTTCAAAAGAGGCATACTACCAAATTTAATCAATTTTTAGCTGGAACTGACCCATTCAATCAATTTTCAATCAGGATCATCTCAATCATTTGTGGTTGTCTTAGCCGAATTCTATTGACTTTCAATTAGGACCGACTCAATCAAATTTAGTCAATTTTAATATCTAATATATTTTTAATAAAAAAATAAAATTATTTGTTCTATTAGATTTAACCAAAATATCTATTTATAGTAATCATATCCTTCCTTGAACTCATAGAACAAGTAAATAAAACAATGAGACAATATAAAAAATTTTAGTACTAAATAAAGTTCACTTAAATATCATCTTTGAGCAACTTAAAACTTACTTAATTTTTTTTATACATATAAAAATTATATAAGTTTTGTAAAACTAAGAATTACACAATTATAGAATTATTCTTGATAGAATATTCTCATATAAGAGATCATACAATAATATATTTCATTAAGCAAACAATTTGCTTTTTAATTAAATAAAGGTAAGACGATATATTTTAAACTATCACCAAAAGCTATTTAAAAAAAGAATAAATCATTATAATTAAAACCAAAAGTGTTTAAAAAAAACTTTACCATCTTTATTTAATAATGGTATTCATAACCGGGTTTAGAACATATAACCCCTTTTTTTAAATAATTAAAACTGACTTTTCCAAACCAAAACTTGTTATGATTTCATAATAAAAATAACTAACATATCTACCAGCAGTTCTGCATATCTCAAATGAGTGCGGAAATCACAGTTGGACTATTGTCCATAATGATAAGTGTTTCACCTTTTTCTGCTTAGAAGAACACTTCAGAGATTATTCATCTAATTTGTACCTTGCTAAGTAATCATTGTCCCATCCAAGGGAACCACGTCAGATTCTTCTGAGTAGTTTTTTCAGACCTATTATTTGAGGACACTAAACAATAGAGGTGGGATCCGATTATAGAAAAACGAAAATAGCCTTATTCCAATACAGAAGATAATCTTTGTTGTGGAGTACTCTTGACACTTCCTATTCTTTGAGGAGGCCACACAACATGGGTAACCCTTCCCCGAATTAGGGCCAAAGGAATCTGCAAATTCATTAGGTCACACCAAAATTATAAGAAAAATCATTAACCATAATCCACGTTACAGGATAAACAAAGTCCTCAACAGCCAACTAGAAAATATTTTCTGTCAACATTGTAACTTCCTAACTACAAAGACTTTGGTAATTTGACCGCTATACTAGTTTAGTGTCAAGGTTTGCCTAGGTGCACCAAAAGACACAGTTACTAGGCAAGCTGAGACAGTGGAATGTAAACTATTAACTTGATCTGGTGGTGAAACTATAGTAAATAGCATTTTTATTGAAAACATTAAGCAATGTAACGTGATCTAATCTAATTTAATGACCCTGAATTAATCAGAAAGACTCATCGGCTGTACTATGCTTTGAAATAAGTGAACACAATTGCAATTGATACATAATAAATCTTCATTCTTTTTCTAGCAAAAGAAGCCAGCTAGTCAGGCCTTACCCCGTAATTATTATAAACCATAATTTCTTCTGCTCATCTGTTAACAGAAATCTTAAGGTTTTTCTCGAAATGTAATATTAAACTAAGTACGATTCAGAAGTCCTCTCAATTTTGTATTCTCTCATTTCAAGCATTGACCCTTTACACGAGACTTATTTTTCTTGCTTCATTTTGCACATCATAACAGTACTATCATGCCAGAAACTCAGTGATAATAGCAACTTACCGGTCCAAATGACTTTGAATCAATGCTAGAGGCTGAGTTGTCTCCCTCAACCCAACAATGTCCTGATGGGATCTTAATCACATCGTTGTTATGATGAGTGCCATACCATTCACCAGGTAATGCAGCTATTGTTTTTATGTGTGTCTCCTTGTGATTCGTTGGGGAGCTACAAAAGTTTCAGAATGGCAATTAAAACTTACAAAAAAAATACAAATAGGTGTCAAATATAGATTCTAATGAAATATAAAGTGCCATAATAGTATAGATCAAGATCTAAAATTAGCATCATTTTTAGCAAGAGCCAACCAACGAATATAAGTTACATCACAATAATCTATTAATGTTAATAAGCCCGGTAGTATACAGTGTAAACCAACAACTGCCAACGATTTTGGCTGTGAAGCAGTATTAATCCAAAGACATGATAATTCACAAGACTCTATAGTCACTTGGTAAATTACCAGACATCTTATAAAAGAAAGGAAGATACGCATATAAACATATAATTTAAGCATACAATACTTGGAAAAGGATGGACAAAAAACAGTACCGGAAGACTACCACATCGCCATTTGAAAATTTATAGTCCAAAAGGCAAAATTGCTAAAAAAAACATAGTCATCTACAGTGTAATTAATGGTCAAACAACAAAATCTGCAATTGTAAAAGTAATATTTTATTATGAACTCCTTCAGCAAGAAAAATACCAAAAACATTTCCCATCAGAGAACCAGTTTTAGGATTTAATGTGGGAGACATAGAGGCACCTCGAACAGGAACAACTGTGGCAAAAGAATCAAACGCAGTCACAGCCATGACAGCAGGTGTGACAAATTTTTTAGTGCAGTTCCATAGAAAACTTTTTGATGACCCCATGTGTTTTGGTGCTCATCTATGTCAAAAATCCACAGTCAGCAATCAGCTTTCCACAGAACATAAAAAAAAAGAGCAATTGAAAGCGAAACACACTAGAAAATTGCAAACTACCAGAAAATATTGTACTGTTTCAAATATAAAAAAATAAATAAATAAACTGACATGAACAAGAAAAATTCGCACATAAAACTCAAGAAAGCAAGCCACTAATTTACTCATAACGAGAAAACCTAAGTTCAACTATATCAGAAGAATTGCTATCTTCAACATGTTCAATGCCGAATCAATCCACCAAATTGGCAAGTTTCCAGAGCATTAAAGCTTAGAGGTCCGCATTCCCTTGCTTCTGCATGTAGCGGATTCCTTTGTTAACCCTGCTAAATGTGATACGATAGGGACCCCTACAGTGTTGGAAGAAAATGGAACGAGTTCATCAACTGAGCATTCTGAAAATGCCGGAATTGCAAGATCCGCAATTGAAGACGTGAAAGTAGCAATATTTATTATCACTTGTAACTTCCAGAAAACAGACATTGATGGAGGCCATTTTAAATCAAACGCTTTACGAGCACATCGACATAAGGGCAAGTAACAAAAATCAAAATACGAAATCGGTGACAAAAATGGATGATAATGAAACTTCAGATTCAATGGTTTTCTTTTGTTGAAACGAGGTGGTCTGGGCCCGGGTGGTAAAAAAAAAAAGTAAAAAATGAGAAAAAAAAAGTGTCAAATTAACGTAAAAATGTGGATATTATTTTTCTTCGAAATCATAACGGATTTCTTTAATTAGAGTTGATTTATGTAGCATCTAAAAATTAATTTTGAAAAATTGAGGGTGTTATTTCCGAGGCCTCTCCACCTATGGGTTCTTCTCTTCATATGCAATCTTCCCATCATTTTCATATATGATTCTAGTTGATGATTGTTGTTGTTACCTCATCAACTCGAGGATTAAAACGTAAGAAAACGAGAGTAAAGAACAAGAGTGCCTTGTGATTGCATACTCTATTTGAATATCCAAAATGTTGTATAATAATATTAAATTATTATGTAGAACAGAGAGTAACTTGATCTATTTTTACACTTTACGATCCAAAATAAATAAACTGTTATGTTTTTAAAGTGGTTTTTAATATCATTAAAATAAATGAACGATTTTTGTAAAACTGTATTTGTTATCTACAAATATTTTAAATGAACAATTAATTTATCATAAAATCTTATTTACTTTAACAACCAAAGGAAGAAACTTATGAAAAGAAGAAAAAGAAAAAGAAAGATAGTTTGTTCATTCTTACATTATAAATGTCCATAAAAAATTAATTATCAACGTCGAATTTACCTTTAATGATTTTTTTTGTCATTATTTTCAATAAAAAAAAGTATCTTCATAATAATTTAGGAGCATATAAGGAAAAAAAAAATACAAGATTTAGAAACTATATGTCACATCCCAAAATTTATATACCTGAATAATAATAAAGTCTTTACAAGAATACTCAAAATCAATTTTCTACTCTATACCTTAATTCTATAATGTCCTATCACATCTTTATTCTTGACGTTTTTCTAAAGTCAGTCTTAAATGTAATTATTACAAAAGAGAAAACAAACGCAAACATATAACAATTACAAGGGTAAGCTAATGCTAAAAGAAACAAACATAGAATATCAAGATTTATCATATATTACATTTGATACAAAGTTAAGCAAATATCCTAAGCATACAATGAACCTAGATCTAACCATTCAGATACAAGTATGAATATCAAACTATGGCAGTCATGCACTTGTGGTGGCCTCTATTGCTTTGCAGAGTCATTAATCAATTGGTTTTCACCCTACCACACACAGGTTAGCAGCCCATTCCACTTCTTAGGCCAAGATGGAGCACGTAGACTAGGATCTCCTACTACTTTCACCACATGCATCACCCCTTTCCCAATTGAGAATGAGTAATCATTAAAGTGTTAGGATAACTTCCAAACTAAGCTTCCTACATTCATACATACAATACTTGAAACAATCATTAAGAATTTCACCTTAGAAACCCTTACTTAACCATACCTTGATACATATATAACATCATGCATAAACCTGCATAACATTCCATATAATATAACAAACAAGCATTATAGTATTAATATAGCATTCATCCACGAGAAAACAAAAGAAAAGAATCAAAAGAGCCTAACTCATTAACAGGGCGCTCAACGTAACTACCTTACGCTTAGCCCTAGTGCTACTGAAAAATGGTAACTAACTTGACGCTCAACCCTAGCGCTATTAACAAAAATGGTGCTCAGCACAACTACTCTGGGGCTCAGTGCCAGCGAGAGCAATTGCTCTTAGGTTTTGCATCGCTCAGCGCCCAAAGAGAGCGCTCAGTGTCTTGGAGTCCATGAGCTTTTGGGCTTGGTAGCGCTAAGCGTCATACATGACCCCTCAACACTATAAACTAGAAACAACAACCTATTTTTCAAGTCTTGGTGCACCTTGGACCTATCCAAATGTCTAATATGGGTTCTTTATCACTAGGATTGATACAAAAACATGTTTATATATGAAAATAGAGTATCACATTACTCATTAGATCAGAAACTAGGTGTACTAAACCAACTCAACAACTCAAAGGTACCTATATCCATCCACGAACTTCTAACACAAACTTGGCAACTAGGACTAAATGATCTTAACCTGACCCAAAATAACCCAAACCCTCACTTTCATCACAACCCTCTACTACTTTAAGAATTTCACTAGTTTAACACCTCTAAAAATGACAAAAAAACCATATAAAACTCAACCTATCACCTACTAAACCATTGTACCATCAAATTTTTTACTCAAGGCCTCAACAAGTTTCAAATGATTATAAATCATACTCAAAAACTCAGGTCCTGCTAATTATCCACTGTTTAAAACTTTTCACCTATCCAACCTTCTTTTTAACTAGAATCAACTTACCATTTTTAATCTTATTTTTTGATTCTCATTGCCACTACAATTTTCTACCCAAACAACTCCAGAATAACCCCTTTCAAACACTTCAACAAATTTCAAACCACAAGTACAAATGACATATGCATCAGATTTCATAAAGTAACCATTTTGACACGTATCAATACCCAAAGACATAATTCATCATGCTAACTTTCAAATTTTCAGCACATTTCGAACACATATACATTAATCACTTTATTTACAACATCTACAGTACTAATTAAGTTTCACTTATTTGTTTTGGAGCTACATTGACTCGAAAGTACACTACCCGTGCCTCAACTTAAAGAACTCTAAAAGTACCTGTAAACCATAGAATCATGATCAGGGTAGGTCCTTAGGACCACTGATCAACGAAGAACCAACAAGAGAGGTTGAATGACACATGCATGAGATTCCTTTTGCATGTGTCCTTAAATCGAAAACCAAAGAAAGTGAGTAAAACTGATTACTCTATTAAAAGACTTATTGTTGAAAATGAAGAGTTCATTATCGTGATCTCTTAGGTACCTCTTGATCGTCAAATAGATGCTTCAAGACTTACGATTCTTAATGACAAGAGAGAAAAAATTAAAAGAATAAATTTTAGAGAAATGACAAATGTTTTAGATAACAAAACATATTGTTTATATTATTGAATTATTTCAACAATAAAATATTCAATTTTATTATTTTAAAATACCTAGACACTTTAATATTCCATTTTATAGATTTTCACAAAATCTAACTCACGAAAATATCACTTTCTTATAAATCTCTTAATAAAATAAATAATATCCTTTCTTATACAATAGACTCTTTTTCTCCATATAAGAAAGTACAACATTAAGGTTGTGTTCGTGTTTGAAGAGACAGATTCTAGCTATTCATGCAGAATTGCGACCGCGAATTCTAGATGAAATTGTTTTCGTTTTTATGATGAAAATCATCTCTTCAACAAATTCTCAAAAAANGCAATGCCCTCACTTCCTCCTCTAACGGCGTTGGCGGCGGTGCTGCCTCTTCCCACACACCCCATGGGTTCGACCTAAACCTTCCGGCGCTGCTCACGGAGTTCTCCTGTTCCAAGTTGAGTTCACGGTGGACACTCAGAATGTGCTCGGGGAAGTTGCGACATCGACATCGGAATGTTGGTGAGATTAATTAATATGTGATTTATGTCATGCAATCTGCACTGGCTTGTGCTCTGTACATCGTTGTTCTTCAACCATTTTATAACAATAATGAGGAGGAAACAAAAATTTGTATGTTTCTTTGTGTGTTATTCAATGATTTTGATACATAGATTTTGGGTGCACTTGGAGACTGGGTATATATGGACTAAATTTTGTTGTTGTTTTTGTTTTGCCCAAAGTATGGTCAATTCATATAATTTCAAACCCTAATACGTAAAATTGGGAATTTTGATTGATTATTGTTTACTAAGAAGGATAAAATTAGGAATTTCAATATAGAATTTTTTTTGCCAAAATTTGTTGCCAAAAATCTCTTAGCAAGTCACCCCATATTTCGCAGTAAAAATGTTTGGAATTTTGATGACAAAATTCATGATGTGTGCTTTCACACCAAAACTCCAATTTGAAGCGGTTACGTCTAGTTGAGATAGTGGTCTTCCTGTTATGAACACAATCTTTATGTCAAGAGACACCAATTTTTTTGTACAATTTCGGATTCCTATGGAGTCTTTAGGAACACTCGAGAATTTGATGATGTTATGTGCTTCCACACCAAGCATCCAACTTTGGTAGGACATCGAACCCCGATTTCATTCGGAGTGGGAAAACTTGGAAGTTTACATTGGAAGTTTACATTGGAAGTTTACGCTGGCGCACAGACTGTGAAAATGGGTCTATGAAACCCTAAACTTTCTCAAACCAAATCTTTAATTTCCAGAAACAATTCAGTTTGCGATTCTAGTGGGGAAAGACGAGTTTGACAGTCACTTCTTGATTTTCTGGATTTTTGCAATTCTGGTTTTGAGGGTGATGAAGATGGTGATTGAACGGTGTTAATACCAAGCCTCAATCATACTTTTCCCAAATCTGCTTTCGATTTCTCAATTGTAGAGAAAAGGGTTGTCCTTAATTTAATTTCTTTTTCCAATTTGTCCTCAATTTTTTAATTTAGAAATTACAAAATACACTTTACAATTGGGTTTTTCCTGCCACGTCAATTTAAAGAATACTGTCAACATATTTAAAGAATATTGTCAACATACAACGTAAGTAAGGAATCTTAAACGACCATTTGTCAGCATACAACGTAAGGAATCTTAAACGACGTTTGTCCCATTTGACAGCAAGCCTCTATTTGTTTCAACTTTTCAAAAATAAGAATCCAATTGAGACATCAGATAAGTAGGGGACCAATTTATATTCTAGACTAAAAAAAGGACCTACCAAAGCATTAAACCTTTAGTAATTAAACCTATAAAGTTAGAGTTGAGTTAACTATTCATTATCATAAAATAAATTTGTTTTATACTTTTCATTTGTTTGAAAGTTTCTAAAGTCGTAGTTCAATTTAACTATTTCAATTCGACAAAACATTAGTTGGAGCTAAGATTCCAAGTAAATTTTCGAAACAGGCATACTACCAAATTTAATCAATTTTTAGCTGGAAGTGACCCATTTAATCAATTTTTAGCTGGAACTGATCCATTCAATCAATTTTCAATCAGGACCATCTCAATCATTTGTGGTCGTCTTAATCGAATTCTATTGACTTTCAATTAGGACCGACTCAATCAAATTTGGTCAATTAATATCTAATATATTTTTAATAAAAAAATAAAATTATTTGTTCTATTAGATTAACCAAAATATCTATTTATAGTAATCATATCCCTTTGACTCATAAGAACAAGTAAATAAAACAATGAGACAATATAAAAATTTTAGTACTAAATAAAGTTCACTTAAATATCATCTTTGAGCAACTTAAAACTTACTTAATTTTTTTTATACATATAAAAATTATATAAGTTTTGTAAAAATAAGAATTAAACAATTATAGAATTATTCTTGATAGAATATTCTCATATAAGAAGATCATACAATAATATATTTCATTAAGCAATACAATTGCTTTAATTAAATAAAGGTAAGACGATATATTTTAAACTATCACCAAAAGCTATTTAAAAAAAGAATAAATCATTATAATTAAAACCAAAAGTGTTTAAAAAAAACTTTACCATCTTTATTTAATAATGGTATTCATAACCGGGTTTAGAACATATAACCCCTTTTTTTAAATAATTAAAACTGACTTTTCCAAACCAAAACTTGTTATGATTTCATAATAAAAATAACTAACATATCTACCAGCAGTTCTGCATATCTCAAATGAGTGCGGAAATCACAGTTGGACTATTGTCCATAATGATAAGTGTTTCACCTTTTTCTGCTTAGAAGAACACTTCAGAGATTATTCATCTAATTTGTACCTTGCTAAGTAATCATTGTCCCATCCAAGGGAACCACGTCAGATTCTTCTGAGTAGTTTTTTCAGACCTATTATTTGAGGACACTAAACAATAGAGGTGGGATCCGATTATAGAAAAACGAAAATAGCCTTATTCCAATACAGAAGATAATCTTTGTTGTGGAGTACTCTTGACACTTCCTATTCTTTGAGGAGGCCACACAACATGGGTAACCCTTCCCCGAATTAGGGCCAAAGGAATCTGCAAATTCATTAGGTCACACCAAAATTATAAGAAAAATCATTAACCATAATCCACGTTACAGGATAAACAAAGTCCTCAACAGCCAACTAGAAAATATTTTCTGTCAACATTGTAACTTCCTAACTACAAAGACTTTGGTAATTTGACCGCTATACTAGTTTAGTGTCAAGGTTTGCCTAGGTGCACCAAAAGACACAGTTACTAGGCAAGCTGAGACAGTGGAATGTAAACTATTAACTTGATCTGGTGGTGAAACTATAGTAAATAGCATTTTTATTGAAAACATTAAGCAATGTAACGTGATCTAATCTAATTTAATGACCCTGAATTAATCAGAAAGACTCATCGGCTGTACTATGCTTTGAAATAAGTGAACACAATTGCAATTGATACATAATAAATCTTCATTCTTTTTCTAGCAAAAGAAGCCAGCTAGTCAGGCCTTACCCCGTAATTATTATAAACCATAATTTCTTCTGCTCATCTGTTAACAGAAATCTTAAGGTTTTTCTCGAAATGTAATATTAAACTAAGTACGATTCAGAAGTCCTCTCAATTTTGTATTCTCTCATTTCAAGCATTGACCCTTTACACGAGACTTATTTTTCTTGCTTCATTTTGCACATCATAACAGTACTATCATGCCAGAAACTCAGTGATAATAGCAACTTACCGGTCCAAATGACTTTGAATCAATGCTAGAGGCTGAGTTGTCTCCCTCAACCCAACAATGTCCTGATGGGATCTTAATCACATCGTTGTTATGATGAGTGCCATACCATTCACCAGGTAATGCAGCTATTGTTTTTATGTGTGTCTCCTTGTGATTCGTTGGGGAGCTACAAAAGTTTCAGAATGGCAATTAAAACTTACAAAAAAAATACAAATAGGTGTCAAATATAGATTCTAATGAAATATAAAGTGCCATAATAGTATAGATCAAGATCTAAAATTAGCATCATTTTTAGCAAGAGCCAACCAACGAATATAAGTTACATCACAATAATCTATTAATGTTAATAAGCCCGGTAGTATACAGTGTAAACCAACAACTGCCAACGATTTTGGCTGTGAAGCAGTATTAATCCAAAGACATGATAATTCACAAGACTCTATAGTCACTTGGTAAATTACCAGACATCTTATAAAAGAAAGGAAGATACGCATATAAACATATAATTTAAGCATACAATACTTGGAAAAGGATGGACAAAAAACAGTACCGGAAGACTACCACATCGCCATTTGAAAATTTATAGTCCAAAAGGCAAAATTGCTAAAAAAAACATAGTCATCTACAGTGTAATTAATGGTCAAACAACAAAATCTGCAATTGTAAAAGTAATATTTTATTATGAACTCCTTCAGCAAGAAAAATACCAAAAACATTTCCCATCAGAGAACCAGTTTTAGGATTTAATGTGGGAGACATAGAGGCACCTCGAACAGGAACAACTGTGGCAAAAGAATCAAACGCAGTCACAGCCATGACAGCAGGTGTGACAAATTTTTTAGTGCAGTTCCATAGAAAACTTTTTGATGACCCCATGTGTTTTGGTGCTCATCTATGTCAAAAATCCACAGTCAGCAATCAGCTTTCCACAGAACATAAAAAAAAAGAGCAATTGAAAGCGAAACACACTAGAAAATTGCAAACTACCAGAAAATATTGTACTGTTTCAAATATAAAAAAATAAATAAATAAACTGACATGAACAAGAAAAATTCGCACATAAAACTCAAGAAAGCAAGCCACTAATTTACTCATAACGAGAAAACCTAAGTTCAACTATATCAGAAGAATTGCTATCTTCAACATGTTCAATGCCGAATCAATCCACCAAATTGGCAAGTTTCCAGAGCATTAAAGCTTAGAGGTCCGCATTCCCTTGCTTCTGCATGTAGCGGATTCCTTTGTTAACCCTGCTAAATGTGATACGATAGGGACCCCTACAGTGTTGGAAGAAAATGGAACGAGTTCATCAACTGAGCATTCTGAAAATGCCGGAATTGCAAGATCCGCATTGAAGAGCCAGTGAAAGTAGCAATATTTATTATCACTTGTAAACTTCAGAAAACACGACATTGATTGAGGCATTTAATCAAACGCTTTACGAGCACATAGAAATAAGGGCAAGTACAAAATCAAATACGAAAATTCGGTGACAAAATGGTGAGAATGAAACTTCAGATTCAATGGTTTTCTTTTGTTGAAACGAGGTGTCTGGGCCTGGTGGTAAAAAAAAAAGTAAAAAATGAGAAAAAAAAAGTGTCAAATTAACGTAAAAATGTGGATATTATTTTTCTTCGAAATCATAACGGATTTCTTTAATTAGAGTTGATTTATGTAGCATCTAAAAATTAATTTTGAAAAATTGAGGGTGTTATTTCCGAGGCCTCTCCACCTATGGGTTCTTCTCTTCATATGCATCTTCCCATCATTTTCATAGTTGATTCTAGTGATGATGTTGTTGTTACTCATCAACTTCGAGGATTAAAACGTAAGAAAACGAGAGTAAAGAACAAGAGTGCCTTGTGATTGCATACTCTATTTGAATATCCAAAATGTTGTATAATAATATTAAATTATTATGTAGAACAGAGAGTAACTTGATCTATTTTTACACTTTACGATCCAAAATAAATAAACTGTTATGTTTTTAAAGTGGTTTTTAATATCATTAAAATAAATGAACGATTTTTGTAAAACTGTATTTGTTATCTACAAATATTTTAAATGAACAATTAATTTATCATAAAATCTTATTTACTTTAACAACCAAAGGAAGAAACTTATGAAAAGAAGAAAAAGAAAAAGAAAGATAGTTTGTTCATTCTTACATTATAAATGTCCATAAAAAATTAATTATCAACGTCGAATTTACCTTTAATGATTTTTTTTGTCATTATTTTCAATAAAAAAAAGTATCTTCATAATAATTTAGGAGCATATAAGGAAAAAAAAAATACAAGATTTAGAAACTATATGTCACATCCCAAAATTTATATACCTGAATAATAATAAAGTCTTTACAAGAATACTCAAAATCAATTTTCTACTCTATACCTTAATTCTATAATGTCCTATCACATCTTTATTCTTGACGTTTTTCTAAAGTCAGTCTTAAATGTAATTATTACAAAAGAGAAAACAAACGCAAACATATAACAATTACAAGGGTAAGCTAATGCTAAAAGAAACAAACATAGAATATCAAGATTTATCATATATTACATTTGATACAAAGTTAAGCAAATATCCTAAGCATACAATGAACCTAGATCTAACCATTCAGATACAAGTATGAATATCAAACTATGGCAGGTCATGCACTTGTGGTGGCCTCTATTGCTTTGCAGAGTCATTATCAATGGGTTTCACCCTACCACACACAAGGTTAGCCCATTCCACATCTTAGGCCAAGATGGAGCACATAGACTAGGATCTCCTACTACTTTCACCACATGCATCACCCCTTTCCAATTGAGAATGAGTAATCATTAAAGTGTTAGGATAACTTCCAAGACTAAGCTTCCTACATTCATACATACAATACTTGAAACAATCATTAAGAATTTCACCTTAGAAACCCTTACTTAACCATACCTTGATACATATATAACATCATGCATAAACCTGCATAACATTCCATATAATATAACAAACAAGCATTATATTATTAATATAGCATTTATCCACGAGAAAACAAAAGAAAAGAATCAAAAGAACCTAACTCATTAACAGGGCGCTCAACGTAACTACCTTACGCTTAGCCCTAGTGCTACTAAAAAATGGTAACTAACTTGACGCTCAACCCTAGCGCTATTAAAAATAATGGTGCTCAGCACAACTACTCTGGGGCTCAGTGTCAGCGAGAGCAATTGCTCTTAGGTTTTGCATCGCTCAACGCCCAAAGAGAGCGCTCAGTGTCTTGGAGTCCATGAGCTTTTGGGCTTGGTAGCGCTAAGCGTCATACATGACCCCTCAACACTATACTAGAAAACAACAACCTATTTTTCAAGTCTTGGTGCACCTTGGACCTATCCAAATGTCTAATATGGGTTCTTTATCACTAGGATTGATACAAAAACATGTTTATATATGAAAATAGAGTATCACATTACTCATTAGATCAGAAACTAGGTGTACTAAACCAACTCAACAACTCAAAGGTACCTATACTCAATTCCACAACTACTAACACAAAACTTGGCAAACTAGGGATCTAAATGAGTCTTAACTGACCCAAAAATAGACCTCAAACCCTCACTTTCATCACAAACCCTCTACTTTAGAATTTCACTAGTTAAAACCTCTAAAAATGAACAAAAAACCATATAAAACTCAACCTATCAACTACTAACCAATTTTACATCAAATTTTTTTAACTCAAGGCCTCAACAAGTTTCAAATGATTATAAATCATACTCAAAAACTCAGTTTCTGCTAATTATCCACTTTTTAAACTTTTCACCTATCAAACCTTCTTTTTAACTAAGATCAACTTACCATTTATCTTATTTTTTGATTCTCATTGCCACTACAATTTTCTACCCAAACAAACTCCAGAATAACCCCTTTCAAACACTTCAACAAATTTCAAACCACAAGTACAAATGACATATGCATCAGATTTCATAAAGTAACCATTTTGACACGTATCAATACCCAAAGACATAATTCATCATGCTAACTTTCAAATTTTCAGCACATTTCGAACACATATACATTAATCACTTTATTTACAACATCTAAAGTACTAATTAGTTTCACTTATTTGTTTGGAAAGCTACATTGACTCTACGAAGTACACTACCCGTGCCTCAACTTAAAGAACTCTAAAAGTACCTGTAAACCATAGAATCATGATCAGGGTAGGTCCTTAGGACCACTGATCAACGAAGAACCAACAAGAGAGGTTGAATGACACATGCATGAGATTCCCTTTTGCATGTGTCTTAAATCGAAAACCAAAGAAAAGTGAGTAGAAACTGATTACTCTATATAAAAGACTTATTGGTTGAAAATGAAGAGTTCATTATCGTGATCTCTTAGGTACCTCTTGATCGTCAAATAGATGCTTCAAGACTTACGATTCTTAATGACAAGAGAGAAAAAATTAAAAGAATAAATTTTAGAGAAATGACAAATGTTTTAGATAACAAAACATATTGTTTATATTATTGAATTATTTCAACAATAAAATATTCAATTTTATTATTTTAAAATACCTAGACACTTTAATATTCCATTTTATAGATTTTCACAAAATCTAACTCACGAAAATATCACTTTCTTATAAATCTCTTAATAAAATAAATAATATCCTTTCTTATACAATAGACTCTTTTTCTCCATATAAGAAAAGTAAAACATTAAGGTTGTGTTCGTTTGAACAGATTCTACTATTCATGCAGAATTGCGAGCGCGAATTCTAGATGAAATTGTTGTTCGTTTTTTATGATTTGAAAGCAATGAATTGCAGAGATTTGCGAGATGCAAGCTTTTTTCATCACCCTCTTATATGTAGAGATTTGAAGGGAAACATAGTGAAATTCTTGAGGTTGGAGATGAAAATGGAGTACCCATTGCAAGAAACAGTACACTATGAGACCTTGGTGGGATGATGGAAGTCAATGATGAAGGACGTTTGAAGAAGCCAGGGGCATCGATGTTGAAGAACCACCGTGAAGGAGGTTGAAGGAGCACCGTGGAGGGGTTGAAGAAGCTCGAAGTTGCAAACCAACATATTGCAGCAAAAGACTTGCACAGTGCACGTAACCGATTCCAATTTGTCTGGAATCGATTTCATGGCTAATGTATTTGATTCTAAGTCTTGTATCCGATTCCACTTTTCATGTATCCGATTCCGCTATTCATGTATTCAATTATGCTTGGCCATTAACCGATTCCAGCTGTTGTCATACACTTTGTTCTTGGTGACCAGCTTACGATGGTTAATGATTGCTTAAGTTGGCAGTCATGTCTAACTAGTTTGGTGTTTTGCAGGTGTAAGGGAAGGGAACATAAACGTGAACATGGTTTTGAAGGTGGTGAAGCTTTGGTGGAGTAGGTATTTGTGAAGATGAAGCTCGTTGTTTGGAGGTGTGGTGGAAGAGGTGATTCGGATAGTGCAACGAAGGCGGTGGAGGTACATAATGCAGGCAGTGGAGGTGCATCTATGCGTGGAGGACTTTGTGAAAATGACTTTGGTATTTGGATATGTGACAGCGCAATTTATGAAAGTGGTGATGGAGCATTTAATGGAATAGTTTGTTTCTTGTATACATGGATAAATAAAAATGTCAAAAATAGTTCCCTGTTATTGTCTTCTTTTTTGACAATTTTTTTTCTAACTTTGTTCTGAAAACAAATTATTTTAAAGTTGAATAAAATAGTTTTTTTTCAACCAAATATATGAGACCATATTTAGATTATCTAGCTGCTTTGTTAATTAATTTTTACCATTTTTTACATTTTAATAATTATTTTTTATTTTTTTCATTTTATAAATATTTTTACAATTAAATATAACATTAACAATTATCATTTTATATTACTTTAATAACTAGAGGCATTTTGATAATCTTTAATTACTATCAATTAAACAATTTTTTTTATCTGTCACATCAATCAAATCCTACACTAATTCTAATAAACTTTACATCTAAATTCATCCTCAATTACCTCCAAATTCACTAAAACAAACAACAAAAAATTTACCCTCAGATTCATTCAATCACTCTCTCCCAAATCATCTCCTCCAAATACCCTCCATTGAACCAAACATTAGTATTTAGATTGTGCCTTTATTCAATTTCAAAACTATCCTCTACATCTATTACTAGAGTGGTTAATTCAACATTAATAAGCCAATTTGACTTTTATTTAACAGAAGTTTAGTATATTTTTGTAAATATAAATATATGGTATTATTATAATTTAAATCATTATCGATTAAATTATTATTATGAGTTATAATAAAATAATTTAACATGAAAATATAATAATTATTTTAATTTATTTAATTAAAAATATTTATATAATTAAATATGCTTTAAATATTAATTTATAAGTTATATAAACAAATTTTAAAAATAAAGTTAATTTTTTTTTTTAAAAAAATGATAGTCCAGTTTACGAGTCTATCCGGCAAAAGAG